TAATACATGATGAAAAGGCATACAATTAATAATTCACACAAATGTTTGTGCTTTATATGTGATAGCATCTGATTATTCATTGAATGTATGATCCAATTGTTATATTATGTTTGTATGCAACGAATCCCTGTTTTATTATAACATATTTAAAAGATGTTTTATTACAAGAGTTTTGTTGCTATTTTGTATTGAAGTTACGTTTTTTGATTAGATAACAGATAGTTTTGAGCGCTTAAAATATAATATAATGAATAACTTTTATGATCAGTTATAGTGAGCTCTATATAAACACTATTAACAATAGGTTTGAAATACAACACAATATTTTGTGATTAATAGTCACCAAAAACTTCTCTGTTTATACAACTAATGAAACGAAAGCCCATTATTCAAGTCAACGGTAATATAGATTTAGTGAATCATTACAACCAAAAAGACTAATCAATTATATTGTATACAAAACCTAAAGTGAAATATAAATTTTGTGATTTGCAAACAGGGACTGTTATGTGTGTGTTGTGTTTTGTTGGCTAATTATTTGACAAATCAATATAATCTGCATAAAAATCGTTTAGAATTTGGAAACTTAAAAATAATTCAATTCAAGTAATGTTTAGCAAAATAGCAGTTGAAAAGTAGGGCTAAATTTAGAGCAATTTTTGAATTTGCATTTCAATTAAAATGTCGACTAAATGGTACTTTGAATTTATCACAAGAATTGTAACCTTTATTGTTTCCATCGACTACAGTATGACAGATAACTCACGACATAATCAGAAACATATAACAAAAGTAGAAATTCTTGCGTTTAGTTTTGCGAACATATAGTGTATTGACATCCGTCTGATAGCTCTTCTCTTTTACTGATAATTCAATTTTATGCTTCAATTTATTATTCAAATAATATATTATATTTTATTTTGTCATGAAATCGATTTTACTTCAAATCGCAGATCATAAACAGAAAGTGGGCTCTGATTTGAGTTTTCATTTCTCTCTTTTTCTATTTCTATATATTTTTGATAAAAAATTATTTGAATGTTTGATTTAAAATAATTCCAATGACTTATACACAGAATATATATGAAAACTCTAAATTCACATCAATTTTGAGTTTTGAATATGTCGTTAAAATCAATATTTATTTTTAAAAACGAAAATATTGAGAGAATTATTTACATTATATAACAAACACATGAGAATATAGTGTATATCCAAAGAATATTTACAGAATATTAGTTTCCAATGAATGAAATACGATAATTCTTGTACTCAATCTCTTTCACTATAAATATAATCCATGATTAAAAATGAAATTTTTATTTATGTCTTATTTTACAATCTAATAATTTTTTTCAAAAATATTTTCCAATATTTATTGCGATTATCAATAAAAGTATCTCTAATAACTGTTAATCATTTACTGTATATATATATAATGGTAGATAGTTTTTCATTAATTTTTACACATAAAACGCATATTTATTATGCAGCATAGTAAACTTTGTCTATACCTTTGAAAATGAATGTATATTTTTAGAAAATTTAAAATTAAATTTCTCGATCAATGGATGAACAGTTCATACCATTAATCAAACAATAGTTATGTTATGCCTCTAATCGAAAGCGTTTCAATTTATCAAAGAAATATATAATTAACTGTTGAAAAGAGGGTTACATTTAGTTTTGAAAAACGAGAGATAGGAAGACAAGGGCTAAGAGGAGAAGTCGACTTTGATTTCACTTTTGGCATAAAAATATTATTAAAAATACAATTCTTGCAGTTTATGAACAGCAAAAGGCTGTGTACTGTTGGAGTGAAATAGAGCTGATTATAGACTTTCATAGGCTTTCAGAGCATAACTTATTAATATAAATACAGTACAAGAAGTGCACAACCATTGCATTCATTGCTTATTAAAGAAGTGTAGCCACAGGAGACTCACACACTCTGCCATTTGTGCCAATCCTATCGTAATTGAAGTTTATATTATAATGTGATGGAGTAATGACCATAAACTCGAGTCTTTCTTTCTTTGCCAACATTTCTATATGAATATTGAAATGAATCCAAAAAACAATAATAAAAATCAAATCTCATTACTAATGAGTAATTAAAAATACAAACTCCATTAATCCGATCATTTTCAGCCAAAATCAAATCATAAATTATAGGTTTTGGTATAACTTTAATACGAGAGTCTAGTCGTAGAGCTTTGGGAAATAGCCACAAATATACCATACATTGAGTGCACATTCAATGTATTTAATGTTATATTTATGTATTACAAGCAATCGAAATCTCATAACATATCACGTATTAGTTTAATGAACATCAGGTTCCTTTAATTCTGTATAATTTTTTGGATAAATAAATAAAATGCATTAAAGTTTTGAAAATTCTTGTCTATGAGTTCATTACGTATGAGAATAAATAATGAGTAGAAAAAGTAATTTTAAATGAAAACTAATTAGAAAAAATCTTGTTTTGTGTTTTGTAATATAAATACACATAACTCTCACTCCTTTACTGAAAAACATGAATTTTTAACGAAAGAACAAATTATAGCATCAAATACTTTGCAATGGGATAGCAATGTAAGACTTTATGCATCACATACTCAACCAATTTATATTCAATTCAATACACTATTCATACAATTATTGATTATTTTGTAATTTAAATTCTTAAGACTCTCTTTGATTTACTTTTTAATCTAAATTCATTTCACTGTGTTTTATGAAAACATATCTTTTAAAATAAAGACTCTTAGCATTGATTGAATCACATTATAATTGAATTAATTAAAAGACACCAATAGAAATATGAGTTTAGAAAAATTTAATTAAAAAATTTATCAAAACTTTTTATCTAAATATATTTTTACATAAATTTTAAAGTTTCATTAGACTTTAAAACGAAAAGCCTTTATCAATGTTTTCTATACAAAGTTGATAATTATTTTCTTTAGCAAATAATCTACAAAAATTAAAAAATATCAAAATAAGTCTTAATATCAAAATAAGTCTTAATACAATAACAAGTCTGTGAATTATGTTGATAACGAAATCAGTTAATAAAGCATTTCCTTCAATCAATTTAATTGTATCGGAATTTTATTTATATATTTGATTGGGAATAGAGAATAGCATAAGAATATAGTGTATGTTATCTAATATAATATAAATATAATATATTTTGCCGAAGAAATTAGAGCAGAAAATCTCATTGACTATAACTGTAAAACTAAGAGTAGATTTGAAGAACTTTTTAGTGATTTATTATTATATTTCTTTTATTACTCTCTCAGTATATCATTGTTTTTGTTATTTCTGTCTGTTTTGGGAAACGAAACAAAAGTAGCAATTCTTGTAACTCGTTCTCCACTGACTTTATATCAGTTTGAGTGCTATTTAATGCGATAAACATTGAGGTGAAGTCAAATCACGTCCCCTTCCCCTACACTTTGGATCTTCATTTGCTTCATATCTTTTTTCTTAACTACTGGCTCTCACTGACTTTATATCAGTTTGAGTGCTATTTAATGCGATAAACATTGAGGTGAAGTCAAATCACGTCCCCTTCCCCTACACTTTGGATCTTCATTTGCTTCATATCTTTTTTCTTAACTACTGGCTCTCCATTGTATTATCTGTTTCTATATATATTTTATGTCATTATTCTTAAGCTCAGAATTTATTAAGTTTTGTTTTCATGTCATATAAAATAATTAATGTTTCAAATACTGATATAATATTTGTTTTTCTATTTAATTCAATTCAAGGGTTCCTTTCAATTCAGTTAATTTCTTTAAACATTTGTTTAGAAATTCACTTTGTTTTAAAATATCTTTTATATAAATATATTATATATTTATATAACGCGTTTACTTTTTTAGAATTTATTTAATATAACTGTAAACAAAATTTTTGCTATTTTCTCATACATAAAGTAATAAAAAAAAAGAATTTTTATCGTATTTTGTTTAAAAAATAAGAGACAGAAATGAATGCAAAAGTTTGGTTAATATTTAAATTAATCTCACATTCAATAGAGAAAAACACAAAATAATTAAGAAATTTGAAAAATATGTTGATGATACGTTGGGTATGATTGTGTGCACAGTATATGTGTGTTGACTGTTATAATCAAATTTTGCGAGCATTAAAACTATCTATAATACCATTTCACCTGAAACTACATTCCTCTGCACTCACTCCATGCTATCTTTAATTCTCAACTCCTGTACCCATCGATCGATACTATATTTTCCTATTCATCTCAGAGCGCATCTCAACACACGCCTAGAAAAATTTCACCTGAAACTACATTCCTCTGCACTCACTCCATGCTATCTTTAATTCTCAACTCCTGTACCCATCGATCGATATTATATTTTCCTATTCATCTCAGAGCGCATCTCAACACACGCCTAGAAAAGGCCATTAATTCTCTCTCCCTTTCCCTTCTCTCTCTCTACTCTTAGCACACATATTATCCCTTCTCTGTGTGTCTGTGCTCTCCATTCCTGTGCTCTCTTCGCTCGCATCGCGTCTCTCTCTTCTCTCTCTTTCAATGCATTTCTCTTTATTCTATTTGTGCGGCTCTTTGTGTGCTGTATGTGAACACTACCTGTGCTGTCGGCCCACTGTTTCTCACTCCCAGCAAACCATTTGATATCAAAGTATTTTTATTTCGTTTCTCAAACCATAAAATTGCAAAACCAGTGCTGAGTTATTGTGAACATCGAGATCGAGATGGAGAGAGAGGGAGGTATGTGTATGAATGCGTGTGTACTGTATATGTGTGGGTGCGGGAGAGAAAATAACACTATTTTTATTTGTGATCTACAAAACCAGAGATTGCTTTAACAGATATACAATACACAGAAAACACACTGAGAGCGACGGACTCTTTGCCTTTGGTGTTGAGCACACGATATATTCAGTTAGTGGTCAACACAAACACATATCAAATGAACGAATAATACTTATATTTAATGGCCGAAAAAAGTTTGTGCGCTATTAAAGCCCTTTAAAAATACGGTAAATTACTTTTTTGCCTCAAATGTGATGAAAATATTTTATGTATTCACTGTGTGTTTTCGTTTGCTTTATTATATTCCGTATGTGTTGTATGTGTCGTAAAGTTTTTTGCCGTACATTTTTGGCCAACAAATATATTCACTAATATTTTGTGGGCGCAAAAAATTACTTTTCTAATGCATTGAACGCAAAGAATACTTTCTAAAAGATTAGTATATAATTCTCTATTTGAAACCAATTTCAATATATTCTTTCGCTATTATATCTGTAACTCTACTGTATTTCACTTCTTATTGCTTTCATTTATTATTCATATAAACTGTTCCCATCTAAAAGATTAGTATATAATTCTCTATTTGAAACCAATTTCAATATATTCTTTCGCTATTATATCTGTAACTCTACTGTATTTCACTTCTTATTGCTTTCATTTATTATTCATATAAACTGTTCCCCATCGCAAGCAATTTTGATTATATTTTATACTTAAGACTCCGCTGCACACACACCATGCTATTGAACGTATAAACTATTATTATATTTTGTTGTGTTCAATGAATCTCGCAATTAATTGTGTGAATGAATTTTTGTGCTAATTAATTATCACAACGTTAACTAATACTGTACCCTATAGTGTATGTATTCACGAACTAATTGAGTTCGCATTCAAATCATTCAATTAATTTACCCGAGAGATGCGATTATGAATATTAGCGTTGAATGCAAAAAATATTATAATCATATGAATTATAGAATATTCTGTGCAAATGTTTGAACACATATTTTATATACTTTTTTGCTTTCTTTGTCTGTGTGTTTGATCTATAATTTTGTTCATTCAAACATCTAAAAGATTAGTATATAATTCTCTATTTGAAACCAATTTCAATATATTCTTTCGCTATTATATCTGTAACTCTACTGTATTTCACTTCTTATTGCTTTCATTTATTATTCATATAAACTGTTCCCATCGCAAGCAATTTTGATTATATTTTATACTTAAGACTCCGCTGCACACACACCATGCTATTGAACGTATAGACTATTATTATATTTTGTTGTGTTCAATGAATCTCGCAATTAATTGTGTGAATGAATTTTTGTGCTAATTAATTATCACAACGTTAACTAATACTTTACCCTATAGTGTTACACTGTATGTATTCACGAACTAATTGAGTTCGCATTCAAATCATTCAATTAATTTACCCGAGAGATGCGATTATGAATATTAGCGTTGAATGCAAAAAATATTATAATCATATGAATTATAGAATATTCTGTGCAAATGTTTGAACACATATTTTATATACTTTTTTGCTTTCTTTGTCTGTGTGTTTGATCTATAATTTTGTTCATTCAAACAAACTTATGATAAAATGCTTTTTATAACTAAGAACCAGAGTGAAATAGATGAGTGAAGGGAAAAGTGTAAGAAAAATCATATACAGTAGAAAATATAGTATACAATGGAAAAAAGTAGAGTCTATTGAATAGAGTGATTGTATGTATTGTATTGTATGTGTTGTTTGCGTGACTTCACTATTTCCGCGCGTTTGCACATAAACTGCTTATTGTTTGACGTGTGATATCTCGTGTATAAAGAATATACACAATAACATCAATCCACTGAATACCGCATCCAACAACCCATCACCTCTCTCTCTCTCTCTCTCTCTCTCTCTCTCTCTCTCTCTGTCTCTCTCTCTTGTGTTCAATTATTTTATTTTTACACACATTTTTCTTAACTGATAAGGATTCCGACGCATATAATATATATAGACATAAATAGTGTGAAAATTAGTTTCGTAGTTTTTTGCCACAAATATCAAGTGAATATCGAGCGGAAAATTTTATTATTAAATAGAAGTTTGAAAATAATCGCAGTTTTATTTAATTTGCTGTACCAGTATTTGTTTAATAGTTATAAAAACTACATTTTCCATTGCATACTATCAATTAGCGTTAAGCAAATAACTAATCCGTTGACCAAAAAATTATTTTTGTAATAAAACTTTTGATATATAAAACAAGAGTTTTAGTTTTCATTGTATTATGAAATGAAAAATACATCAAATGACAGATAGTATGATAGATGAATGAGTCGGACATATGTTGAAAGAGTATGAGTTGTGTCTAACAAAACAGAGCATAAAATTTTATGATTTATTGAGTCATTGTTTTTAGTAAATCTCATTCTTTGTACAAAAGTGATAATAACGAGACATTTCTCTCGCAAAACGCTGTTTATGTGATATAACGTTAGGTTGGATACAGCTTTTTATTTTATTAAAGAAAATGTAATAATACTAAAAGTCTCTCCTCTTTTCGTACAGCAATAAAAAAAGCGTAGCATATGAACACAAATATATAATACATTTAATTTATCATAAAATTTAATAATGATATTATTAAAAAATAGTGTAAGTTCTTGGAAATTGGATTTTAATAAGAATTCTTTTGTCTTAAATTTTGAACAATATTTTTATTATCAGTTAAAAGCAAGTTATTGCTTGCAATCAAATACTCCTGTGTTTCATATATTTCTTGTTTGATTTTTGATAAACGATTCAATATATATTTTATATAAATCTGCTTAACATTGTGTATAACTCCCAGTGAAGTGAACTCTCAATCTCTGTCCAGACTTTGGTGCGGACATCAAATTTGTTTGCCATGTCTTCAAATTGTAACTTTAATACAAAAGCCTGTTATACAACAAACAACACATATTTACACAATTCTGGCGATAAACAAGCAAATAAGAGACAAAATGAGGAAAAAAGTTTATATACAAAAAGTATTTTGAAAAGTAGTGCAAATCTGACACATTGTGTGCCAAACTATTAATGAGAAAGTGTTGCGAAAAAGTATTGACAATATATGAAGTGACAGACCATTGCACTGATTCACTGATTTTTATTATCTATAAAATGCCAGATCTGGTCACTGTTTACCACATTCGCCATCAATTGCTCTCAATATGTGTTTTGTGTGCAAATTATTTGTCAGTATTTGGTCAGTCATTACTATGGCTTCTATTGTACTCACAATACATACAGTTATGTTGAGCACCGGTCACTACAATGCAATAACTCACCCATAAATGCCATCTTTTCAACATATTCTCTCTCTCTCTCTCTCTCTCTCTCTCTAAAATGATATCTCATACTTTGCGATCATTTCCCAAAAATATCATATTCTTGAATACAATTTAAGATACTACTTGTTAACAAATATAATATTTGAACAAAAATATAAAAACTGATAATCATTGTCACAGCAGTACTCAATTCAAATGAGAATTTAGCACTATTAAATTAATAGATAATAATTTTACAACTCTTTATTAACAATAAATGATTTTATTTTTAATAAAAATCTCAAAATATTATTAAAATCCTATATTTTCTTAAATTCCAGTAGTTTTATTATAAAAACAAATATATTGAGCATACTACCCTTTGCATTCATTACCATTTTGCTTATTATTTGACATGACAATGATTCATTTACGACTGAACTGACACTCAAATCATACAATTATATTGTGATAACTTATTTATATAATTATATCCATGTATTATTCAGGTAAACCATTAAACCCCTCGATTCCATTCACAAAACAACTCTTGAATTGTGGCCAATATTTCAACGATAGCTTCCGTTTGATGAGTCACTCCAGTGGTTACGCCACCCAACCATCGCATCCAATAATTGTATATATTGTGTATAACTGTTATTCACAACACTTTATTTGTTTCGCAAATTACATTATCATAAACTCATGAATTTCACGGAATATTTCTATTTATTCTTCAAAGGAATTTCATTTAATTTCATATCAAGCAAACTCTAAAACACATATTAAATGAATTTTATTTGAATTTATAGGGAGTTGTATCCGTCCGGAACAGTATGTGTGTGAACCCAGAGATAAAAATAGTGTTGAAATAGTAATCAGTTTCGATTAACTCACCCTAGTCAAACCAATCACAGACCCGTAATTCACATGCGGTGTATTTCGTGTGTACTTATTGTATTATTATTTTTATCATTATTACTATTCTTTTTCACCATTTATTATTTTTATTTAACAATAACGAATCAATGGCAACCCTTGTCTGCCTCCTCGGCTAAGCCCCACCCATACCTTCTGAGGCAAACCAGTAATACCTTTCACCAGTCATTCCCCTCTGAGCGGAGATAATATTTAGGATCACTTTCTCCCTATCCATGCCTTCCTTATGCCCGCAATCCTTGTGTTCTAACAGCTCTCTCACCACTACATCACTACAACTCTCTCTCATCAGTAGTCGCTCGCTTGCATACAATCGCTTACATAACAGTATTTGGGAGAATGATAGGGTCCAGTGCCACCACTACCACCACTACCACCAGTGCCACCATCGCTACCATTACTACTATACGATAAGACGATAGTTGTGCTACCAGTGCACTGGTGATGGTCTCCTCGTCTCCTTATCATTTCCGCTGTCCAGACTGTATTGGAGAGCTGGACGGAGAACTGATAAGGGCGGGGGGAGTACTACTAACACCACTAATCATATATTAATACACTTTTTTCGCTCTCATTTCCTCTGAGCATTCTTTGTGCTCTTATTATTAATAAATGCATTAACTTTTCATAATTATCTATAATAATAGGTATTATATATCACTAATAATAAGAGATAATTACAATAATAATAATATATCTGTTATTAATAATCATTTTTATAAGTTTCCTGTGATTTCCCCAACCCTTAGCTCGTATGTTATTTGTACTAATAATGGCATTTTATTTCAGTCACACAATGTATTATATTTTATTAATACATCCAAAGCATCATTTAATAGTAATTTATTGTCAATAATATGTAAATTTTAAAAATTATATATAACCTCAATAAAAATATATCTCATGTTATAAAAATAATTTCATTTCATAATTATTGTGTCTAAATGAGTGGATAAAACATTCAATTTTATTAATAACCGCTTTTCCAGTCAATCAAATAAAGCAGTTGTTGTTTGGAAAGAAATTTTTTATAATTTTCAACAAACAGTTTAACGCAGTCTTTGGGTCGACTCACAGCTGCGTTGTGTGGAGTAATCAATACGTTTGGATGCGACCAAAGAGGACTGGTTTGAGGCAACGGCTCCTTTTCAAACACATCGAGTATAGCCCCCGAAATCCATTCATTATTCAAGGCATTGATTATTTCGTTTTCCGATATTACGGAACCCCTTCCGATGTTTATGAATACCGGCTTCTAATTGCAATCAATAATTCAAATTTTAGTGAAATTTAAAACCAGACTAATATTTGGATGTATTTTATTACTATCGGGGAACGGGATGTATCTTATGCGAGCACAAGTATGGCACAGAATTTTATGATTTACTCAACAAATTTAAAAAATAGTAGAATATTCTGGTGACAAGGAATGAGTGAAAATATTCGCTCAAATGAAGATTAAATAAAGAGTTGGGGCGTTGAGAGCCCTATTGAATGTCATCATTTAGCGTATGCCTAACGATAACCGATTGGTATCATCAATAATTAATATATGTATTTTTGATTGACATAAATATATGTGTAGGAATGTGTTGGCATTTAAACATACAGTACAAGTACTAATATAATTCTGAGCCCACTTTAACATAAATGTCAATATTTAATGTTTGACTTCAACGCCAAAAGTTGATATTAGTTTTGGTCTCTAATGAAGAAAAACTGCTTTTTCTCTCTCACAACCAAATTCTTGTGAAAGCATTTGGGTATTGAGTATAATTGGAAAATAAAATTACATTAATTACTTTGTATCTAAAAAAGAAGTTTCTCTGCAATTAAATAATATCTTTATTTTGTGTAATTATGAAATTCATATACAAATCAATAGACAAATAAAAGACTGGAGGAATCGTTTCGACTATTCGTTGCCATTCGTTGTACTAATTAATCACTTGTACAGTATATGCAGTACAGTATAGTCTATGTATTCATTGGATTGCATTAATATTTACGAGTTTTCTAATTGAATATTCTGTAAAAATGAGTGCAAACTAAAGCTTTAATTTGTAATTTAAATATAGATATCGATGTCTAATTTCAGCACGTAGCTTCGGGATTTTGTTTGTCGTTAAATAAAGTTTTGTTTTGATAAGAGGGCAATCTATACGGAATTTTCAGTTACTTTACACACTTTCATTACATCATTTACAGTCAATTCGCTTTAAAATTCATAATTAAAGTTCAAAAACTTGTCATTTATTTTATGATTGTCTCATGCGATCGATAATAAAAGACTTTAAAATCTATTATATAATACACTAAACAGACATTCAATCAAAATTTTGACGCTTTTAAATTCAATTATAATAATTAAAACTAAAATTCATTTATTTTGCCAAAAGTTGCTATTTTGATAATTTATTCCTAAAATAAATTCACAATAGTTTTAATCAATTATAAACTCATTCAAATGAAAGTTAATCTAAAGGTTTTCAAAGCGATCGTTCATTCATAAGCTAAAATGAAACACTGATATTATAGTATATTTCTTGAAACCTAAGCCGATGTAAGTTATAAAAAGTTAGTTTTGTCGATTAAAGTGCAGATTACTTTGACGCTTACAGACAGTTACACTTGTATATAATATTAATAATCCAAACTTCATAACCAAGTAATTAAACATCGAGATTCAGTAACAGTAATAAACTATCTTATCTCTATTTCCTAACCTTTTGAGAGCAGAGTTGGAGCGCATTGTTGTTGAGGAGACCTATTGTATGGGGTGTTGAGGGCAATACACTTATCACATAATCACATTCCGGGAGTATGTCCTCCAATGCAGTCGAATATCTGAATTGCAATTAATTAATCAATACATCCTTTGCTTGCATTCAAAATCAATATTAAACTTAAGATAACATTCTTAATATATTATACATCTAATTTATTCCTACATAAAGTCATTCAAAATCAAGTTTATTCTTAAAAGAGATTTGAGAAGTTTATTTAAATTTAGAGAATACTTTAGAATACTGATGATTACATTTAGAATCCAAACGCCATGTTATGTCTATGGAAATTGTGTTTATAGTGACCATAATCTTATATTCTACAAAAGCGGCTATTATTTTGATATTAAGTGTCAAATAGTAATGAATAATGTTGCTCATTCTTCTAATGTAACACTGTTTTACAGTATTATGAACATTGCGTTTCTAATGAAAAGGTTATGTGACAAACTATAAATTTTAAAATATCAAAATATTCCTGTAGGTTGAACATGGACATTTCTTTCACGAAACCAAATCCTTCCTTATTTATTTAGTATTGTTAAGAAATATTCCGATAGACATAACACAGAGTTTGTATTTTATCATCATTTTAATTATTTATCACTAGTGGGGAGGGAGGGAACATAGTCTAACTAAGGTTAACTTTTATTAGCATTTTGCATTTTATCCCAAATAACTATTTTATTATTTTGGGAGATCAAAGTAGTGAATATTAATGGTGAAGACGGAAACTATTTTTTATTTTTGCTTTTTGTTTAAGAATTAAATTGAACCGAAATGAGACTCAAGTGGAGAGAGAGAGAGAGAGAGAGAGAGTTAAAAGTTTAAAACTAATTGAAAATTCTGAGCACAGATATAGTGAAAAACCGAAATTACAAAACACATCAAATACTCATTAGAGATAAATGTCTTCGAAACGTAACAATACTTAATGTCATTATACTTATCGAGTGGTATATCCTTAATGCTGTGTTCATAGCGTTTGGTGCGCCCATAGCTCACCACTCGAGAGCCCAATTGCCGAAACTTGTGCGCCACTAATAAATTATTGATTATATCACACATTACACCATACAGTCATAAACTATACCATTATATACTAGTATATAGTGTACACACAATAGAGTGTATGCCGTGAACTAACAATAAGACAGCGAACAGACAATAAACTTCTTAAACAATATATACACCAAAAAACAAAAAGACAATTCTCTTCACTATATTTATACTAAACTCCAAAATAATAGACATTTTTTTACCTAATTCAAAATGTATTTAACATAATTTACAAACCAATCGTTTGTATATGTTACTTAATGTTCATTCTCGTATTTAACTTTCGTGAAAATGATATACAGACGTTTTTACATATATTTTTCCTTTCGATTTATAATTAAATTATTTGTGATTTTATTCATTAGGAGATAAACACATAAAACATGTAGTCTTTAGACGTTGTGTCAATAAAAGCGTGATTTAGAAACGAAATAAATGTAACTTTAAAATTCAAAATTCATTTTTCCATAAAATGTGATAAATAATTGAAAATCTGCCTAAACTTAATAAAACTTTTAACATGTGAATGAAAACTCAGATATATTTTATACGAAGTGAGCAAAAACTCTAAAACAAACTTTTATTCATAAATGAATTGAGATTTGAATTTAGATTTCCTTTTGAATTGATATAAATTCGTTGAAAAAATTTTGCATAAACTCTAATAAAATCGGAGACTACTAGGATCTATATACTGTATCACTGAATACTGAATATGCGAAAAAATAGTATAAATATAACTAAATAAGAGCCAAAAGCGCATAGAGTTTGTGTCTGAAAAAACAGTTACCAAATCCTGACATAAGTCTTTGAATACAATATAAGATTTATAGTTTGAATCGATTTAAAGCTTAATATAGAAAAAAAGTTAATCCAAAATTCGTTTAGATATAAGACTCAATACACTACTATAAAGTTATTTACTTTTTTCAAAAAGTAATAATTTTTATTCAATACAGATCTTGTAAATTCATGACTTACTGCAGTATTTTTTGACAAATATTGTACTCTTATATTGAATTTGTATGGAATTGAATTAATAGAAAGACTTTAAAGTTTGTTTTGTATAAACAAGAAAACAATGAATAGTCATTGAAATCTTCAGAGAAAACAAACGAGAGAGAGAGAGAGAGAGAGAGAGAGAGAAAATAAAGTGGAATAAGAGTGGTCATACTGTATGAACCAATAGCTCCGGTCCCTCCAAGTATCGCAATTGTCATTTCGTCGGTGGACTTGTAATCCCAAAGCACTTCCTTTTTCCTGAAGATTAGAATAGAGAATGCATTTGAGAGTCAAATAAAAAGAGTGACACAAAAAAGAGAGCAAACAATGGCTTCGGAGGAAAATTAAAGATAAGCGGATCAGACGCGACATCAAAGGGGATGTTTTGTCGTATTTTCTCTCATTTTAATCATTAATTACACGAAAAGACAACTGAAAGCAAATATATTGGGACAGAGAGTGTGGACACAAGTGTTTAATTGCAATTCATGTGAGCCTATTGTGGGCCTAATTGCGAGACAAACCATAGTTTCTTGAGTTTTGTATTCTCGTAGTCGTTGAAGAACTTGCGTTCAGTCATAACCATATGTGCCATACAGTAGTCAAACATAGACTGACCGAAACTGTCGCCCGAAAAGCGGGTCATCACTGTCCTCCCTCCGAAAACTGGCGAAAACCAGTTGCGGAGGTGTATGGTCAGTTACGGGCGGGTGCAGCTGACTTAGGTGACTTAGGCACCGTTGGCCACCTTCCAGACGCGGTTCTCCAAGCCCAGGCCAAACAGTATCTCCGCCTCCTGGAGGTCTGCGATCTCTTGGGCACCGATTTGTAGACCCAGTGAAAACTCACCAGGGTATTCTGTATGGTTATCGTTTATATAATTAGTAAGTCTCTCAATTTATAAGATCTAACATAAATTTAATTTAATGACCATGTTAAATTAAGGTTAAAAAATAAATTTGGCGCTAATTTAATGAATAATGTATTATGTTGGCCTTTTTATAATACACAGGTTTGTTGTGAAACTAATATGGTATTCAACATATAAAAGTACCTATTTAATATATTTGTTTATTTAGCACAATATCTGTGTAAATGTTTTGGTACTTTATGTTAGTAAGCTATTACAGCAAATACTGGCACTAATGTATATGTAGTAAAATACCAAATTGTCAAACATGTTACAGCAATATTTCACACAAAATGATAAACATACGAAATGTTTGATTTAAAGTTTTTGTAAATAAAACTACAAACGATCGCATGCTTTCACTTATATTTAATTGCAATTAATACTAAAACTATATTAAATTAAAACTTTTTTGTAAAAACTTGTATTTGGTGTCTATTTGAAATAAAACTGAAGTGAAATAAAGCAAAACACGTGACAAACATTGGGCTAACATTTTGGGTAAATATGAAAATTATTATTTAAATTGAGTTTTAATAGAGATATGAATCATAAATAATGAATGAAATGCTAAATACGTGTCAAACGGATATTAATGACCCGACAGTTGGCCAATGCTTTGGCCGTCAATTCATACAACTGTGGGATTTGAGACAATATATACACCACTCGTGACATCACTTTCACTGATTATGTTATAATAGTTCAGCAAATATTCAATTATTACTTCATTCAACACAAAACAAACTTAATTTTGAATTAATTTCCCGAAATTAATATAATATAACTTAATGTTAAAGTTTATATAGAAATTAATTTTGATATTAAAACGATTCAAACGTTGAATGCATTGATAGGTTAGAGATAGTTATTGCAGTACTTGTAATGATAAATGAGACCAAGTACAAGTAGTATGATAATCTTAACATGAACACTATTTATAGTTATCCTTGAGTTGAATCTCAATTAATATAAACTTTCCACAAATTATGTGATTTTTTATCAATTCTAAGTAACTAATTTACGTAAACTTAACTAAAAATATAAGTGTATTTCAAAACAAGTCAAAATATTCGATATGTAATGATAGCTAAATACCCAACTTCATGACCGCGAGATGGTGACGGAATTGACAAAGGACTTAAAGGGATATACATTTTTTGGGGAAATATATTTTCAAAAATCATTTGCAGACTTGAGAGAGAAAGCCATGAAAAAAGTGAATTTAAACAGCGATTTGTTTGGATATAAATTTTACGGCCAATTATTTACTGATAAATAGCTCATAAAAATTAGACATTAAAAATGTTTGGTTTTGTATGTATTGTGAGTTGAGATTTGCTTAATTTGATTATGATTTGCGAGTCGAGAGTGGAGTCCATATAAACTTAGTTTACAATTGAGTGCCACATCTGATGGCAATTAGGATGAGTTGTGGGGGACTGACAGGACTTTACTCCAGGTCTGAGGTGGTGGTGGCGGTGGGGATGGGAGGGTAGGACAGGGATGAGAGCCGTATTTGTAGCGCAAAATACGTTATGTTTATATTTGATGTGTTTGACGTGATTTGCAGTTTTATTACATACAGTATTGACTCAATTTATAAATGAGTCTATTATTGCTTTACTCCAAACGTGACACTCATTTCTAGTTTCACTACTTTTTCTCATTCATTAATTAATTCAGTTTTTTATGCCTTAAAACTGCTTTATGTGCCGCACTTATAGCCCCGTATTTATTACTTGAATATTATAAATAGTTTTATTAGTTATAATAAAAAATTTCATATCTTATGCGCCAGTGTTTGCTTTCAAAATGCATTTTCGTAGGCATTAATTCAGAGAAATTGTGTTTTTAGTTTAATATATAATTTATTTACTTTTAAATTACATTAACGCAGAAATAATTAGATTTGTATTGAATTCTCGATTCCCATAACAAATGGAAACCTCTTATGGTATGAGAAAAAGATTCACAAAAATAAGGTTATATTAAAAACCCTATCATTTCGATGTACAGTATTTGTGTTTAGAGTTTATATTTAAGATATTATAATATCGTATTTAAAAAGGAATTAAATCCCATAGGAATTTGATTAGCGTTTAGATGTGTATAAATCATGTGTTTTATGTCGGATTTTATTATTATTTTAGCAAATTTGAGAAATAAATTCCATTAAAATGCAATATATATTACGGGAAGAAAGCGTTTTATAAATATTTAAGTAAAAATTAAAAAATTAAATCCATTTTCTGTTAAACAAAGAGGTTTTATATATAGATATTTCTTTCATTTGAAATCCATATCGTAGTAAAGGACACGAAAATCACTTCACATTTTATTTTGAATTTGAGTTGAATTTCCAACCGATCGATAGTCTATTCGCTAATATATATATAGATTTTTTCTCTCATCCTTTAAACAATCGTCTCAATGACTATAATTTTTGAGTGCTTTGAAAATATTTTCAAAATAATTGAGTTTTTTCTCTTAAAATTTAAGTTTCGTTGCGAAATATAAAAAATATAGGAAATGGAGGAGTTTTTGTGTAGTTTTTAATCATGTTTTGGACATTTGGTATATTTTTGATATTTTTATTATTAGTTTGTTTTATGTTTTATATAATAAGTTATTACGGGTAAAAATATTTGAATTTATTCAGTAGTAAGACTGTATTTTAAAATCTTATTTTCTGGATTTTGTTTTGTTAATACACTTCAATTGCTTTACAGTATTATAAAGTTTGTATTGAAAATAACAACAAATATTTGTATTATGAATGAAATGCATAACAAAACTAATGGTTATTTTAAAAATAGTGAATCAAAAATATTTTTTGAGTTTCGTGTTAAAAAATAGGATTAGATGTTAATTGAAATTAATGTCTGAATATTATATTCACGGATATATTCTCGATTTTTATTATTATAAAACATATTACGTATACTCTATTATTGAGTCCCTAAATAAAGTCATACATTTTACATGACTTTATGGTTAAGAAATGCCATTGATAAACACTCTTTTATAATTTGGTAATATATTACTTACTTTGATGTTAACACACTTATTTTATCTGTGTAAGAACCAAATATAACATTAAACACAATTGTTAATTATGTAAAATCTCTTTATTAAAAACGTATTGTTTTAATGAATGGATTTATTTGTTAAAATTGTTATAATATTCGTGAAAATATTTTTCATGATTTAATACTTTCACTTTACATATTGAATAAACTATTTTACTTATTATTTTTTGACATTTTTATTTATTCATACTGAATTTTATACTGAATAGTATTCAGTATAGCTATGAATTTATTTTAATTTGAAATTTTAAAATTTAAACTAAATTTTAAAAATATGTTTCAATAAATACATGCTGGGAATGTTACAATAAATTTTACATTTGCCGGTATTATCAATTCAATAGATAATGAGTTAATAATTATTTATGAAATTATATGATTTAATGACCATTGAAATGAATCATTTATAAATATATTAATAATTTAAAACATTTTACGTATAGAAAATATTTAATAAATGATAACAAAACTTATAGAATATTCTGGATGTTTAAATACAGTGTAAACATAACTTCTGTAGTAATGATAATAATAAGTAAAGTCTGTTTCTCTCGACAGTGAAGTTAGTTATTAGGTTTGAAACTAAGGCTCAAACGAACCGTATTTTTAGAGCACTTATATAATAGTGAATACATTTGATAGGATTATAGCGGGAGACGAGTCGCTATTTTGATGACTACTTCTCATCACATAAATGCCGGGATATCTTTTTTCATAAAAACAAATCATTAAAGTCTAGTGTTATATATTTGGTAATCAGTTGTGTCACTCCGAGTATATACCATACCTACCAATTTGGTGGTACCTGTGCACATGTCTGACACATTCATTCATCACATATTCTATGGATTCTTATTCACCATGAAATGGATTTTTGCTCCCATTGTGTGAGATCTCTGCGAAAGTCTTTAATCAAATCAAACATTCAATACTTCACAACACATTCACATGTGATCTGTTTTCTTCAATACATTTAAATCCATTGAATTAGAGCCCAAAAGTTTGTCGTTTCCATTGATTTGCTACTCTTTTCTATACATACATTCTGTTCACTACTTTCCAAACACATATTCTGTCAGTTTTTAACTCATTTTTCTAACTCCCCCTCACTTTCTCTCTTTCACTCCCACTCTTACTCTTACTTTTACGGCTACAGAAATTAATGTACTTTTTGTTTTTCAATTTACGTTTATGTAAATTGCATCTTATATAACAAAAACATTGCCAATAGACTTCATTTCGTCTCTCTCTCTCTCTCTCTCTCTCACACACACACACTCTCTCACTCACTCACTGAAAGTCGTTAATAAAAATAAAACAGATAATTTTCTTGACATATTAAAATTAAACTTAATATTCTTTTGTGTAAATGAACAAGATATGTTAGTTTGTATAAGATTGTGTTCAAATTAAATTAAACTTTGTTTTATTATTCTTTAAATTCTTTAATTTATTTATTTTCAATTTTAAGTTAGTATAAAATTTGTTAAAATGTAGAAGCAACTAATTGTTTAGTAAATACAATATATAAATGTCAATAATTATACAATATCACCATGGAATATTCAATGTTAGTTTCACCTCACAAGTTAATAATTATTTTTCTTTTTTATGGTTTCAACCATTGAATGTGTTTTGATTATTCTGATATTTAGTTATAAATAAATAATTTCATTATTTGTGATCTCATCTGACAATTCACTGCAAACTTAATTAAATTAACCATTTTTTGTGCTAATTGTCAGACGTTTCCCCTCTTTCTGTTGATTTGTTTTTACATTAATTTTGTTATTCTTGTGTTTTCGCGATTGACTTGAGATGACTGTTATATGTGTTGTATTGTACGCCAAATTGCATTTCATTGCACTCTCTCTTCATTTAACTCATTATATTTTGATTATATAATGAATTTAGCGTTAATTCAATTTTATATCCCTTTTTCCCATTCAAATTGCTTTTGTCACTCATTTATCTGATTATCATCAGCGCTGGTACTCCAACCCAAACCTATTTGTGTTGTTGAAGATTAGATCCATTTCCAAGCAATTAGTTGATAGTATTTGTCTCACAAATTGTTGCGACAATTAAAGACAAATAATACATAAAAAACTATTATTTGATTGCTTTGATATTAGTACGAATAAATAGTCTAATTTGATACTAGCTCACATTTTCTATGACATAATAGTTTTTGCTATGAAACTCAAGAATGTGAGTATAATTACATGAATAGTTGTATTCCTTAGCTTTCTTAACATTTTGATACATTAAATAAATTCCTATTGTTTTTATGTTTTTATTTAGACTTCTCTATAGCCCTTAAAACAATCTTTTATGCAAAAAACCAAATGTTAAAAAATTAATTAAACTTTTTTCTCTTTGTTCTAAACACTGAGCGATATATTTGTTATACAATTAATAATGAATTTTGACATTTTTGGGCCCAAAAAGGGACTCAAATAAGGCTTATATGGTGTATATCGTCGTCAGTGCTTAATGTTGTGGATCTCGAAAGCAATTCTCTCCTCTCTCTCGTCATTAATATTAATATTAATTTTTAAATTTTTTCTTTCTCTCTATTATTATAAACTACATTCTCCTCCATCTCCTGTTCCTCCCTTTCCCTCTTGTTATTACTGTTCACTAAATTCAATGCATTTATGCTCTCATACTTTCATTGAGTCAAGTGAACACTATTTTTATTAATTATTAATTTTTATGTCATGTAATACACAGCCGTGTTATACAACTCTTCAAATAAGTGATGTTTGGTCTCATAATACGAGTCCATCGATGAGCTGTCGGCGCAAC